CACACACACACACACACACACACAGTGACCCCCAACACTAAAATAGGCTCTCAGGAGCGGTTTGGAGGAATGAATTGGCTCTATAGCAGGGATTTTCACCCTCATCCCCTTTTTCTCTTTATCTTTTTCTCTCGTTCACTCTTTTCTAATCATTTGTGGGCCGCGACTCTTCAGAGTTCTTATAATTGTCTCGTTCAGTCTCTCGGCCTTGCAATAACTGCAGGATACGAGAGCTCACAGTCTAATACTGATACCACAGCAATATATATTTGTGTGTCTGTGTGTGTATGGGCGATACGACAGGAGAGACGAAGGAATGCGTATATATGAGAGGCGAGGGTGTACTTTTGAGAGATCAAGAAGGAGAGACAGCGCGCTCTTGGTAATAGGTTGAATTTGTGTAGCATTTTCTCAGACTCTTCACAATCTATGAAGTCACTTGGTGCTAAATCAGCTCACAGGAGTTCATGTGAGTCTACACTCTGCTCTGACTTCTTTCTCCACATCTGCCTCAGTAATTTATTTTATCAACCCACGTCTTCACTCCTCCCTTCATCCCTCTATCACCTGGTTTCTCCCTCTGCAATAGACCTCTTTAAAACTCTTCTCTTTCTCCGTTCATACTCCCATTCCTCCTTTAAATATCCTTCATTCACAGCCCCTTTAACCTCTCTCTCCTGTCTTCTCTTTGCAGGTCTGCAGGAGTCACCACTGGCCAACGGGCACGGCCACAGTGGGCGGGACTTCCTCAGGAAGCAGATGAGAGGGGAGCTGTTCTCACCACAGCAGATCGAGGTACTGGACCGCCTGTTTGACAGACAGCCACCCTGTCCAATCCAATCCAGCTCTGACCTCTATGTGAGCCCTGACTCTGGCAAGGTAAGGGCGGGGCATCATGCAGGCTCTTGGCTGAGGCCGAGTTTGGGAACAGGTCAAGGGTGAAAAGACTGTAGGGAGCTCTGATGAAAGGAAGGGCTGAGGAAATCTGTCCATGAAAAACTCACCGAACACATGCAGATGTGGAGTCAAGGGGTGTCCTGGCACTGGTCACCACACACAGCCTCCACTTCCACAGCACTATTGCTGATGCTTGCACTTTTTCTATTACGTTAAGTTGAGTTCAGCTCATACAGCCATCTTTACTAAAACGTTTCATAGTACTGTCATGAATAGTTTACTTTTAGTTCATTTGGTGTGATAATATATGTTTTTCTTCTTTATAAAATTTTAAAAAACTAATTAAACTAATAGAGCCAACAGCATTAATTTTATAAGTTATAAGTTTGTTACCCATTTCTTTTTTTAACTTTCAATATCTTAAATGTTCAAAATAGGTTGATGCTCCACAAAGACCTACAGTTAAGATAAGACACAATGAAAACCCACTAAACAAGAACAAGTAAACAACAAACAAACAAAAGGATAAATTATGCCCAGCAGTTGTCACTACCAGTTGACTTTACATACGGTTTAAATGCATTTTTATCTTCAGTAGGCTCAAATGAGCTTAAAGGCTGAGAACCAATGACTCAAAGAAACAATATTCTAACTAACTAATTCTAACTAATCTAATTTTCAAGCAAGTGACAAGACATCAATTCTTGTGCCACAAAGTGAATAGCAGTCTCAGCCTGACCACCACCATGAGAAGCAAATAGAGTAATCCTATTAGTGAAAGCTGAAACAAAATGTAAGAGAAAGAGAAGATACCAATGACAGATAAAACCTCATTTCATTGATAATGTTAAATCCACGATGCTGTGACTCAGGATCAAAGTTAGCTCCGATTCATCAGAAACCACACTTTAGTAACACAGTTGATTGTTTGAGCTACTGTGGTGTTTATATATTTTATAGAGAAAACCTAATGGCTCTAATTTAATAGAGGATAGAAGCTTCATTAAAACCTTTGGTAAGCTGTCGGCCATATTTGCAAGCTAAAGTCAGTGTTTCAAGTTTGATCTTTTTATATGAAATGCTTGTCGGCTTTCAGCTAAAAGCCTGTCCTGCCTGCTATGCCTTGCCATGCCATGTCAGTCTTGATGAAAATACTCACAGTGCGCATTGTAATTTCATAATTCCAAATTACATTTTATGAGGAAATGTTTAACCAATGCATTCACCCTCGTGTCATCAGCTTCACGTTGTGTTTTGTCTGTTCGCCTGACAGACGTCTGTGTGTCTCTTCTCACCCTGACACACACACACATACACACACACACACACACACACACACACACACACACACACTGTACCAGCAGAGACCCACTCAGGCCTGGCCTATTGATGTTCCTATAATCTAGACCCACTGCAGGGGTTAATGAGCGTATTGACCCAGCTCTTATTATGACCTCACTTCCTGCAGCTCAGGGACACTCGTCGGAGCCGTCCGCGTGCTGACGTGTCTTGGTAAAGTGCTGCATATGTGTGTGTTGTTAGAATGAGAGAGTAAAAGATGAGAAAACAAGAGGGACAGTGGGTGTGTCTGCGTGTCTTCATGTTGCATCTAAATCGACCTCCCGCCCTCTCTCCCAGCAGTAAGTTAATATAAATCTGAGTGGAATAGAAAGGTGTGAGCAGTCTGCTGCATAACAAAATGACGACAAGCTGGCATTTGTATTCTCGCCACCCTCCCTCAAATTTCTTCTAATCTGCGGCCCTCCGGTCAATATTAAGGAAATATTTTACCAGCATCGCAAAATGACACTTCTTGTTTCCACAAACTTTAAAATATCGTCACTTTCGGTTTGTGTATTTGGTCAATGTCAAGGGCAAGAGGACGCACACTTGATGGTGGAGCGGTAGTAAATGGAACCACAGACAGGCCACAGCCTTAGACCTGCAGGGCACAGTTTGGCTTTTTAACCCATTCACCTCCCTCTGACCGACATGTGGAGTAGAGTGGCACAGGGCGAGAGGTCGACAGGGATTGGCTGTAGTAGCTCTATAGACTACGACTTGAGACTATAATACCCATGATTCATAGGTCAGTGTCCTCTGAGCCCGGTCAAGCCACTGGGGTCAGGGTCGGGGATAGGGGGCTTTACACTTCAGGTCGCACTGGGGTCAAACTGGCTTTAGGAACTGCATTACAAAGAGATGCATGTGCACACACACACAAATACACACACACACCACTATCTGTCCCTCTACCTCCGCTTCTTTTTCTCATCCTGTCTAATAACCCCCCCTCCCCTTTTCCCAGTCTGCATTTCCCAGAGGGAATGATTGACAGTCATACCCTTAACACTGACACCCTGACAGCTCAGCCTCTTTGGTATGTGGGCAGAGGGTGTGTGTGTGTGTGTGTGTGTGTGTGTGTGTGTGTGTGTGTGTGAGGCTGTGTTGGTGGAGTTATGGTCAAGGAGGGTCACGCTGTGTTGTGACTGACATTCCAAAAAGAAGCCTGATAGACTTGGCCTGCTGTTGTTGCAGTGTGTGGACGGGGCTTTTGTCAAAGTGTGAGAAATGGTGTGTGTGTGTGTGTGTATGTGTGTGTGTGTGTGTGATCAGAAAGCATGTGTTTCAGGTGCCAACAGTATAAACAGTATATTTTAATGATGCACTAATATTCTGTGATTTCAGACATTATTTCAAGCCCTTCGTTATCTTTCTTGCTCTAAAACAAAAGCCTCATTCATTATTTATCTTTTTCCTTCAGTCCATGTGAAGAGATAAAAAATGTAATTGTTCATCTTCCTTACAAGCAAATCTTAAACAGCGGCTACTTCTCTATCCTTCTCTTTTTCTTTCATCCAAAACAATCCATCCGTTTATCTCATCTCCCTCTCCCGCTCTTGTTCCCTCTCTCTCCCTGTAGTCTATTAAGCCCCACTATTAATTTGTGTGTGTGCTCATATGTGTGTGTCTGCATGTGTGCCTGTCAGAGACAGTTCATTTGAATTTCCCTTCAATCACTTCCTATTACCCAAGTGATAAATCAGCAGTGCTGACAGAGCCCCTACCCGTCCATGCTGCGCCGGGTCCAAACGCCCACCCCCAGTACAAACGAGCGATATAGAAGGAAAGAGGGAATGTTATTATCCTCATTGATAAAGCTTGGAAAAAAGCAGAGAGGTCAAAGATGATCATCTCTGGAGGATGCATAGATAATACAAGTAGGACCAATTCATTTTAAATTCTGCTTTCATCACAAGAAAAATATTAACTATCAATACCTAATACCTAATCATGTCAATTCTGTCATCTGTATTAAATCATTCCTAAATTACATAATGTCTCTTTTTAAGAGCCTTTGCATCCTCTCCTGGGGAGGCAAAGGTCTTTGATATTAGGGCCGAGCACTGATGGTGCAGGGACCCTATTGTTTTTTTGGAAATGACTTTCCTCCCCACCTCAGCCACGCTCAGTTTGAGCACAGATGAATTCTTTCCCCACAATCCTTGTCTCAGTTTGTGAGCCTCTGAGGGAAATGTACTTGTTTATAGTCGAGCCTTTTCCCATCAGGAGTACAGAAGACAACGTGAAGAGATTGAGAGAGAGAGGGAGCTATTTGGGGAATGGAGAAAAAGGGAAATACTATTATGCAAATGTGCAAACCAACAGGGCCATCCTCTGTGTGTGTCTGTGTGTGTGTCTGTGCGTGTGTGTGTCTGTGCGTGTGTGTGTGTGTGTCAGAGGGCCGATTAGGGCTCATCTGTTAGTGATGTGAGATCTGGACCAAACCATTACCTTCCCATTTCTGAGACAGTAGACCATGTGTGKGTGTGTGTGTGTGTGTGTGTGTGTGTGTGTGTGTGTGTGTGTGTGTGTGTGTGTGTTAGAGAAAAAAAATAGTAAAACTGCTGTAAATACCTCACAGGTCTACTGTCCTTTTCTATTATTAGCATTCATTGTTATCAGACACTGGAGGGGAAAGTGTAGGGGAGCACACCATAATAAGAATTAAGTATATATATATCTATATCTCAAATAAAGTAATGTTAAAATGTGTTTTCTCTATCCATTCGTTTTTTGTACATCCTCTTCACTTTGCAAATAGATTTCTGTCTACAATATAAATTCTAATTTCTAATCAACAACATAGAAAACCAGCAGAGTTCATAGCTCCACCAACAGCTCCCTCAAATTCAATCAAGCGGCACCAACTATACACATTTCCCAAATGATCAGCTCCCTAAATATTTCATCAAGATTCATGAATTACTTCCTTGGAAATCAGTTAAGATGTCAAAATAAAGCTCACAATGTTAAAGAAAATGATGAAATAATTCTGGATCCACCCTCGGATCCAGAACTTCCCTGACCCATACCACATCCTTCCACCAAGTTTCACAGAACATCCATTCAATAGTTTTTGCTTGATCTTGTTTGTAATCAACCAAACCAATCAACTAACAAACAAACAACAGCGTGTTATGAAAGCATAACTTTCCTTGTAGAGGTAATTGAAATCACTCAATCTTGGCCCCTCTACTGCTACAGCTGATAAAGTCCAGGAAGTTTAATTACAGTAACAGGTCAATGGATCTGATGATTTATCAGATGAAATAAAATACTGCAAAAAGATGTATAATACTAGTAACCTGAAAAGTTAGTGGCGGGAGTCAATCCCGCTCTTGTCTTCTACAGATGTTAGTTATATCATCTCCTTCTTCTTTCCTGCCCCAAGTCCAACTTACCCTGACACCTCCCCTCACCCCGTACAACTACCCCCACCTCTACTACCGACCCCCCAAAACCCCAACCCCTCCATGGCCCGGCAGCTGCGTCCCTCCTCTTTGATGAGGGCTGATGGCGCTGTATGAGCGGTGGAATTGACAACATTTAGGGGGGCGAATGAGAATGATCCATCTTCCTTAGCGGGCCTGTCACCCCACTGGCCAAACTTCATCATGGCCAATTACCACGGCAGACCCCGTCTTCTCTGCTGCCGCCGCCGCTGCTGCCTGGCCCCCATCTACATGGATACATGGACACATTAGACACCATTATAATAAGACAGAGAGCAGCCAAGAGAGGGAGGGGACGGGATAGCTTGTATCATTGGACAAAAAAAAAAAAAACTACAAGTGTGATGTGGGAGGGGGGGTTAGGGGGGTATTAAGAGAGAAAAGAGCTTAAAATGCGTCTGAAGACTAAGAGAGAGAGAGAGAGAGAGAGGAGGGAGAGAGAGAGAGCAAGAGAGAGAGAGGTGTAGTGTACAGAGTAAGCTCTTATTTGGCAGGTCACAGTCCAGTGGTTGTGTTGTGTGTTGACGAGCACAGGGGTGTTTAAGAGGTCAGTGAGCACAAACACACGCCTGCACTTACACCTACACACACATATAAACACACACACACACACCGACACACACACGCAGAGGTATTAAAAGGGTCAGTGCAAAACTCTCACCTCATCACCTAAAGGAAATTCTGATTGCTGTCATTAGTGTGCACCCCCTCACGCGCACACATACACAGGTGTTCCATGTAACTTAGTGGGAATTATAGATAATTACGTACGCCATATTCATTATGTGAGTACATTGTATTAATTTACATGTTTGCTCAAAGTGATTTTGATCATTACGGCTTGATGGCACAGTGGTGGTTAGCAGCTCAGGAGGGTCGTGAGTTCGAATGCGTGTGTTGTTGTAGTTGTGTGTTTCTAGATGTCTGCCCTGTGATGTCCTTTTGTCCAGTGTCAGCTGGGACAGAGCTGGGACTGTCTCTGTCCCCACCGTGACCCTCAAAAAGGATCAGCAGTATAGATAATGCATGGATGTTAAGGATGATGGTTTATCTGCAACTTAATTGAGATGTCAGTTCCTCCCTATTCCATTTCATTCAAGACAAGGCCACATAAACTTCTTCATGCAACCCTGGTGAGCTCCCCTTAGAAATCGTTCATCATATAATAAGTAGCTGTTAGTTCGAGCCCTTTTAATGATTCTTCAAATTAGCCTCTGTGCTAAAATCAAGAAGGTAAAAATGATCACTTATCTATTTAATGGATCTATAACCCTTTGTTTTCTCGAAACACACAGTTCTGCAAACACTAGTACGAAATGACTACGCACATGCACACACACAGTCAGTAGGCAGGTCGTTTACCCATCATCAGCACAGTGGCCCTGAGAATATATGGTTGGTTATCAGGGTCAATACTTTACTTAGAATTATTACACACACACACAAAGACCTGGCGAGATGAGGACAAATGGGTCATGGCTATGTGCTGGGGTCAGACACAGGTGAGGGGCCGGTTTCCATCCATTTGTCTGCATTTAGTGAGTGTGAGAGAACAAGCTTTAACCAGGTTGATATTCAGAAGATAAGATATTGACTTCATTACTGGGGTTCATCCAAAGCTCATAATCTTTGTTGTGGATGACAGATCTTTCATTTTGCAAAATCAATCTGTAGCATTTTCATGTTTTTCCTTTGGCCCAAGAAGAGAAGAACTTATGGTTTATGTTAGTCACCTTGAAGTAAACGTTTAAAGAAGAGCAACCAAAAGGGAAATGGTGACATTTTTTAAATAACATCCTTGTATTAAACTACTTTCAATAAAGCAATCATCACTCATACTTTCAGCTTTTACTATTGTTCAATGATTTTGCCATTCATCAAAACTGGATTGTGTTGGATGTGGATGTGTTGGATGTGGATGTGTTTTTCTTAATTAATTGTTAATAATCATGGTCACATTCACTATTCATCTGATTGTAGTAGGGAAAAAATAAAAATCCACTCCAGGAAGTGACAGTAATCATGACGTTTTTTTATTTTGACATTTTGAACTTAGACTTCAAGCTCACTATCAAATTCTTTTTGTCCCAAAAAAACACTTAAAAACAGTTCAAATAGACAAGCAGATATTGGTTTGTCACTTCAGTCCTCTCTCCTCTATACGATGTTAAACTTCTGTAGTGTGTGTGTGTGTGTGTGTGTGTGTGTGGGCATTGAGAGTCAGTGTGTTTGTGTGCTGAGATGATCACAGTTCTTATTGTTGTTGGTATCTGGGGAGACAAGAGGCTTTGTGTTAGCCATGGTCTGTAGATGCCACAGCATAGTGTGTGTGTGTGTATGTGTTGTTTATAAGTGGTGTGTGTGTGTGTGTGTGTGTGTGTGTTAGTGCATGTGTGAGAGAGAGAGATGAAGAGGCAGAGGAAGCTGATCTTGTGGTTATAGACTGTTGGACTTGGTTGTACAGTAAATCCCTGTCTATGTAAACAGATCAATACACTCAGCTGTAGGTGTTTCTGTGTGTGTGTGTATGTATGTGTGTGTGTGTGCTCATACCTCTTCACTTTGCTCTCTGCTATGAGGGAGCATGTCAGAAGTGTAGCAGGATTAATCAGATGTGTCAAACATCCAGCACTATTATATATTATATCTAACACTATATCAGAAAATGTCATGATTTGCTTGATGCTCTGACTCATTGAAGCTCTTTCTCCACTTCCTTTGCCCAGACGTCAGATTATTCGGCCATGGCCTCACTAGCGGGCGGACTGGACGAGATGAAGAACAGTTTGGCCAACCCTGGTACAGGTGCAGAGTTAGGAGCCAGTGTTTCCGGTCCACAGTCCTATTCACTTGTTCCAGGTAAGAACGATGACCAACAAATAACAGCACTCCTGCAGAATAAGACAAATCATAATTGTACCAACATACGTAACAGATATATGCAAACTTAATAGATCCCCCCAAAAAACAATTTATTGTGTACAACTCACAATCTGATGTAGCTGAATTCAGTAAATCTTTTCTAGGAGTCTCTGGTTCATGGTTGTACGTATAATAATGTGTCTGACAAGTTATTCTAGTGTGTTGTTGTTTTAAGCCCTCTATACTGTAAACGACAGCCAGTAGATTGTCCGTCTGTCTCAGTCTTGTGAACATAATATCTTGAGAATGCCTTCAGGAAATTTTTGCAACTTTGGTGCAAACATTTACTTGGACTCAAGAATGTTCTGATTTGAATTTGGTAGTCAAAGGTCAAAGGTAAAGGTCACTGCGACTTCGCAAAACCGCCTTTCACCTTGTGAACGCATTAACTTAAGATCACCTCAAGAGAATAATTTCAAATTTGGCACAAATGTTCATTTAGACTAATAGATTAACTGATTAGAATTGGATGGCCAAAGGTCAAGGTAACAGTGGCTTTACAAGATGTTTTTGGCCTCTTGAACATGTTATCTTAAGTCTGCTTTCAAGGGATTTCTTCAGATTTTGAGCAGTCGAGCTCAGTGGTTAAAGGTCACAGTGACCTCATATGAGTCATGAAGATTGACTGAAGTTGGGTTATGTTACAAATTTGCGAAAGATGGATTATAATGGAGACAGTTTGAGTTGTAAACTATAATTTTAGTTGCTGGTATTAAATGAATATGTGTAAAAATCATTGTGATGTGATTGTGAATTAGGGAACGACACAGCCAGAGCTCCAAAACATAAAATCAAGCCCAAGTCATGGTTCTGAAAACCATAAAGCTGTGATCCAGAGGTTTCCTCATGTCTACATAAGCAGTGACGGAGGCTACATGGATTCTAATTGATTTAACCTGTTTAAAGAGCTCACAGCTCTGGATCTCAGGAGAGGTGGAAGCTTGGAGGAGACGTGAGAGCCTCTTCTCTTCCTCAGTCTCCATTCAGGGGCACTGGGAGAGGCAGTGGTTAATTAAGAATAGACCAGGGAGCACTTGGACAAGGCTTCGCCATTCCTATCTGTAATGAGGGGAATCATAGAGCTGGGAATTTGGGGATATCTGGGAATGGGCTCTTCTTTTTTTTTTTGTTTAGCCCCCTGAAATTACTGAGGACTATTACCTGCTCACGCCGAGAGACACACAGACAGAGCGGGAGAGGGCGAGAAAAAAAGAGAGAGCGATGAAATTTCCATTTCTGCTTATGCATGCAAACACACACACATTCCTATTCCCACATTCTTTATAAATATTATGCATGCATTTCCTTGCCTGTCTTTTCCCTCAGAATAGAGCTCCCTCTAGGGGATCAGAAGTCAGTGTTTTTGATGCTATGTTATTGCATCTTTGATGGGTTGATACTCTGGACACTCACTGAAGATCTGCATTTAATCCACATTCTCCATTTTCCTTTCCGGGGTCTTTTCCATATCGGTAGGGAATTTTAATTTCCCCTCTTGAAGTTCATCCAGTCAATGTGATCGCAAACACAAAGAGACCGCTGTACACCCTCGATCCCCCCAGGTTTGACATGTGTTGTTCTGATGGCTGTTTGATAGGGAAGAGTTGGATAGGGAGATGGTGAGGAAGTGAGAAAGAAAGTGTTCATATGTAGCTGCAAGTGAGCACAGAGGAGACTTGTACTTGTTCGTTGACCTCTACGACAAAGCTGCGGAGAACAGCAACACAACTGGCATAAATATGCACAGGCACAGAACACACACACACACACACACACACACACCCACCTCAGAGGATCTGGCCCTGTCTGCCCCCTCTAAGTTGGGCTGTAGAGAGTCCATCTCTCCTCTCTACCAACCTCTCCTTCCTCTCCTCCTTGCCCTGTGCACTGACCCTGAGCGGATGAGTAGCCCGTCTGCACTAATGCCTCGCTGTCGCGTCAAACACAGAGAAAAACTTTACTACACCGAGACAGGAGAGAGGAGGCGAGGAGGGACAGAGGAGGCTGGAGCCAGCGAGGGAATCTGGGAGAGAGAAACACAAGTAGGGAGGGATGGAAGCAAATATTAAGTGAAGAGGACAGAAATATGAGAGGATGAGATGCTGGAGCATTGTAACCACACGTTACATGATCCACTTCTCTGCCTATTTCTGTTTCCATTTGTGATTTTCCAGTAAAGCTCAGTTGATACAGATTGTTCAGGCTGACCAATAGTGATAAATTAGAATTTAATTAGAAATAATTAATTTGATTTTTTAGCTGTGGAATTAGCATGGCTCTATGACAATGTGGGTCATGTATTTTGGTGACTTTTGATGATTTTTGTGAATTTCAGTTTTCACGATCCCCAGACTTTTTTGTCTAGGTTGAATATTCCACTTCATGATAGCTTCTGAGTTGAGAAGATGATCCCTAAACTTTCATTTATTATCCTACGATGGAAAATAACAAGTTCTCATTCAAGTATATTCATTGGGATATATACTGTATTTATTTATCCCTTATACTTTGCAGTTTAAGCTTTTACATACAAAATGTGATGCAACAGAGTAGGAACTATTTCAAATTAGTTTCACCATGATCAACTACAACATTAAAACACTGCTCAAATATCAAATTATCAGTAATAATATCCTAATAATAACATTTTTTATGAAGGTGGCTCTTCCAATTAATTAATATTCTATGTTTGTACTTGAAATATTTAGTTGAAAATACTAATGTATTTTTACCTAAAGACAAATTTGACTTAAAGAAACATCTTCCACCACTGCTCCACTCTATTTAAACGTCACCACTTTCTCGTTCCCTCAATTCAAACCACTTTCTCTTCTACTCTTCTTTTATGTTTTCTTCTCGACATCACTCTCTCCTCTCCTCCTCCACTCAGTTAGTTAGTTGTGGTTAAGTGGAGGGGAAGTGAATGGGATTGATGGTGTTAGCATCTGAGCTGTTTATGATGATGATAAATGTGTGTGTGCAGGGGGGTGGAGGGGGCGTGCGTGCCTGCGTGTGTGTGTGATGATGATGAATGGAGGGCTCCCTCTCACCGCACTCCCACTGTCTACTGCGTGCAAACACAGAGAAATGATTTGGGCCGACACACTGTCATGTAATCTAATGCAGTTATATATCCTATCCACCAAGTGACAGGCAGAAGGAGGAGGGGGGGCGGCGGTGGTAACGATAGGAGGGGGAGTCGGTAAATTAATAGATGCCAGCGGATGGAAAACAAGCAGGAGAGAAACAAAAGAAAGAGGGTCGTCTGGAATGTGCTCTGCCAGGAATTTTTCAATAAACATCTTCTGTGACACGAAGCATTTTCAAGGTGATAATTGTAACATTTTATCATAAATCACTACTGTGTTAATTCAGTCACTGGTATGAATAGTGTCAGAAGTGGAAAGTACATGTCATAGGTCATTTTCACACACAGGTTTAAATAATTACAGAAATAATGCTGAATGAAATGTCCCCCGTGGACGACTGTTTCAGTTACAACTGTAAGTTTCCTGCTGATTGATTTGATTTGAGTTTGTTATCCTTAAAACATCACCCCTAAGAATTGGAAAATGGAGAGTTTTTGTAAACATGAAAAGATACATGCATTTCTTATACATTTATATTATTTTCGATAAATAATAGAATTATTCCTCACCAACAAACTCCATCTCTCAGATCCCAAAGTCCATCTGTGGCTCCAAATGCAATCGTTCCTACTGAAGAGAGAAATCATAAAACCAGAAAGTCACAAACATATAAAAGCTGAAATATCTTCTTAAAACAATAGTTAATAGTTTTAAGCCAACAGATATAAATTGCACATTTAAGGGGACTATTTAGCTACTGATACAGCAGCAGGACGATGCACAGGAATGAACCTAAATTAACTAAAGTACCCATCATCATACAAAAGGAACGCGTGACTCAGTGTGGCTCATTAACATGCTTTTAATAGCTTTGGACCAGTGGAGGCTACATCAGGCTTCGGATAGTGCTCGTCAGTTGGATCAATTCATTGTTGGTTTTGGGCTTTTGATGGGATTTGTTGGCAAAATTAAAAAAATGCAGACCATTGCCAACTTCATCCTGTGAATGGTTTGTTGTCTTCATGGTCACAAGGATTTTTAATTCTATGACCAATGTACCAAAGTAGAAGAATCTATTTGACAATAATATTCTACCAAATCACAATCTATTATCTTTACTGTACCAGTGGAACCACTGGTCAGATGCTACAAATATATAACGGGATAATGGGATAATGAAAGAACATGACAGGTGATAATGGTAAATCTGTGTGTTTACAGGTCGAGACATAGCCAGCACCACTCTGCCAGGCTACCCTCCACACGTTCCTCCCACTGGACAGGGCAGCTACTCCACGCCTTCCCTCACTGGGATGGTACCTGGTGAGTGTACACACAAAACCACACACACACACACACACACACACACACACACACACACACACACACACACAAGAGAAATTATTAAGTAGTTAATTCGTCTCTCATCATCTTCTCACCAGATGTGTAACTGTACTGTAACTGTTTGAATCCCCACCGGATAAATGTGTTTCCTGTGTGTGTGTGTGTCTTCAGGGGGTGAACTTAGCTTTGCCACTTCCTCTTTCTTGTCTTGTCAACACTATGGCTGACAGTGCTCCCAGGGGGTGGCGTGTGTGTGCTTTTGTGAACATATATATGTGTATTTGCTTGTGTTTTGTGTGTGTGTGTGTGTGTGTGTGTGTGTGTGTGTATCATTAGAAACCAGCCACAGTAGCACAGCTGTCCCTCCTCAACGTTAGTAATTTGTTTTTAATGAGAATCACCAGTGACCCACGACTAATTCATTCATTCCCTTCCACTCCGCCTTCTACGCCGCTTTTGTGTTTCAATCCTGGACGGCCATTCTCTCTCTCCCTTTCTCTCTCAGTTTTGCAGTGGTCATCCTGGTCAGTGTGAAGTAAACTGCAGGGGAAATAAATGGAGAAGCGCAAAAGCAACAGCAGCGAAACAAAATCAAAACAATGTTGTTTACAAGTTCTTGTCTCTGTGTATTCCCAGTCATTCAGTTTGTGACACACACACACACACACACACACACACACACACACACACACACACACACACGCACACACTCTCAGTGGACATGTAGGAACAGCACGTCTAAAGATGTGTAACCCTGTCGCCCTGTCCCCCTGTGGTCACCCCGTCCTGTCCTCAGGTTTGACAGCATATTTGTGTGTGTGGTTGTGTGTTTGAGTTAGTATATGTTTATGTGTGTGTTGGCATGCGATTGTTTGTGCGTGTGTTTGTTTTTGACGGTGTGTATGTGTGTGTGCGCGACCTTGACACTGAGCTACACAAGGGAGACCCCTTAGCCTCCTCTTTCCTCCCTTCACCCACTTCCCTCCCTCGCTCCCTCCGTCTCCTAAACAACCTGACACGTTGCCGTCACTACGGTGATGACAAGGGGAGGATGTTCGCACCCAGGGATGCCATGGAGACCACATCCCGACCCCACCTGACAGCTAAACACACACACATAACCACACACACACAATTGCACAAGAAAGAAAACTTGGGTCGTACATACATACACACACACACACACACACATGTGTACACACAACATCTAGATTCCTCTCAGTGAATATTGGAAGCTGCCTGACTCCATGAGCTGACTAAAACGAGTGGAGGAGATAATCTCTCAACTTTGCTTCTCCGGCTCCACCGTGTTTTTTATCTCAGCACTTCTCTGGCAAATTATTCTCCTTTTTGTCCGCTCTGTCTAATATCATACCTTCATTAAGCAAGCAACTCTCTTCTGCTGTTCGTCTTTTCTCCCTCTCTGTCTCCGTCTCTCTCTCTCTCTCTGCAGCAGGGGGGCTGACACTCAGGGGGGGTGTAGGAGAGCAGTGAGGCAGAACCGACAGAACGAGAGGGAAAGAGGAGGAGCGGGTGGGGGGAGGCTGGAGGGAGGGAGGGGGGGCATCAGGGTCTGTGACTGTCAGCTATGGGAGAGGGATCCCCCCGGGAGGAGTGAAGGTTCAGGAGAGGAGAAAGAAAGAGTGGGGAAAAAATAAAAAGAGGAGAAGCGATGGGGAAGAATGTTGTTTTGATGTGAAGGGTGACGAGCGGGTTAGAGTCAGGCGGGCCAGAGGACGAGAGGCAGAAAAGTAAAGAGGAAGGGGTGAAGGGAGAAGTGGGAGGGGGAGACAAGAGGAAGAGTACACCCCAGACAGTAAGTAGTAAATGAGGGAGAAAAGCTATGCCATCATCCACTGTATGGCAGGACCAGCACAGTCTCGCTGAGCTCTCCAGTTGAATCACTCTCCACACGCTGTTCTTCTGGAAAACACAGAGCAGCAGTCGGTCATTAAACGCAGCACATCCACCATCACCATGGTTCAGGTTTGGTTGAGTCGGGGCACAAAGATTAAAACATTGCTTGGTTAAGTTTTTGGAAAGATAAAATAGATTTGAGTTATAATCACACAAGTTTTCTGAAATACGCAGAAAACAGGTAATTACCAGTGTCAGTGAATTTGCGAGGTCTTGAGAGGTCTGAGGGTTTTATGTTTGTGCTAGAAGTCGCCTTCTATTCCCTGGCATTGGTATAAAATGTACCTTGAGAAAATCTTAATTCTCAAGAGAATTATAACAAGCTTGACTTCTGGTGACCCACACTTGTTATCTGCTCTTTCATTTGACTGAAATGCTTCTATTGTACTTGAAGCTTTTTGGTTTTGACTGTCCGCATGTACATGTACACCAAGAATCTTCTCTGTTAACTCATCCACGTCGTGATGAAACTGAACGAACCCTTGATGCCCTTGATAGGATAATTGTTTTTACACATCACATCTTTTCCTGTTTGTTTTACTCTTTGTCCTCCAGGTGGAGATTTTTCTGGAAGTCCATATTCCCACCCTCAGTATTCCACATACAACGAATCATGGAGATTTCCTAACCCCAGTTTATTAGGTAGGTGAATCCCGTATCTCTGCAGCCAGCTCTGCTTAACTGGACGGGATCAATACGTGCTTCATTTCATTCTCCGTCAAACACAGTTCCAGCCTCTCTAATACTCTATGGTAATATGTTCATGCTCCACTGTTCATTTTTTCATTACATTACTTTTCATTCTGTATTGTACTGTACAATACCTCATAGACACACTGATGGTTCTGTGCAAGGTTTTTTTAAAGACTGGCAAATTGGGGTGAATAGATTTGAAGAAAAGGAAGACAAGAGTTAGAGAAAGAGAGAGGAGGGAGCAGATTAGGAAGCTCATATATCTGCATATGTACCTACTCAATGTGTGTATAACATGCATGGTATATCTATATATACTGTATCTACATCTAATCAGCAGTGTATAACAGGATAGTGGGTTTTGATGTTATATAAACTGATCCTGAATCACTGAAAGTACAATCAAAGATGAGGTTGAAAGTTTGTTCATGCTGCATTGAGGCTTAAAATCTTTATTCCAGCTCGACCCTGTTTGTTTCTGTCATTTTGACACAGAGCTGGGTTACTCTTAGATGAAGGATTAGACTGGTGATGTACTGTGCTTCTTTTATTGGAAACAAATGTAAAGTTTATTTTGAGCTACAATAACTGTCCCCAATGTCCCCAAAATGCACTTTATACTCTTGAACTGCAATTAGAGAAGCATATTATGTATACTTGACCTGTTTTTAAATATTTAAATCTTAAGTAGTGACCAATGGGCTTTGAGCTCAGAGCCATAGACTGTACATGAACAAAGACATTTTTAGTTCTGGTCTTTTATTGGAATTGATTGACAATCAGACAAATATAGATTATAACTTCTTCATTAATGTCAGTGAATCATTGACACCACCAGTTACTAACTCATGACATTACAAACAAATCCCAACTAGAAAGGAACATCCCTACAATGTGTCATTGTCAAAGTCATTGTCTTGGGAGCCATTTCCGGTGTCTTGTTAAAATGTTAGAGGGTCGGGGGGGTGATGGTGTAAAAGGTCAGTAGGTGACAGGGGTCAGTTCTGCGCTGACCTGAAGTGCCCCCCACCTTTTCCTCTCCTCATGTCTCCTTTTCCCTCCTTCCCTCTGTCCCCCAGTGTTTCAGCAGGATTATGGGTCTCTCCTGGGGACGGAAATCGGCTGCTCCTCCAGTCTCTTCACCAGCCAGGCAGGACAGATGCAAGGTAGGTGGAGAGAGAGAGAGAGAGAGAAAACAAAGTAGAAACAAACTAAAAGTATGTGTGATGATTCAGACATATGTGTCGAAGAAGGAACAAAGATGGTGGTCGAGCAGAGAGAATGTAAGAGACTTGAGCATTGAGCAGACACATGAGGACGGGATGCACATGATAGGACAGTGAAAGATTTAAGGTTCTTAAACAGAAGCTGTGATGCAGAGGAGAGGTGGAAGAAAAGGGAGCTAAAAAAGGGGAGAGAGGGCGTCTGAAGTCTTGAGTGAGACTAAATAGTTTGTCAGGCCAGCTTAATGCCTCACTTCCCCAAAGAGCCTCCTGAGATTACCTGGACTGTGGACAGACATAACCTGTCAACACACAGCAAGGCTGATTGATGGAAGTGACAGAGACAGGGTGTGTGTGTGTGTGTGTAGGTTTTTTCTGTGTGTATCTAGGTGTGTGAGTGTGGGCTGCAGTGTGTCTGTGGGGTTACAGTATTGAATTGACCTCTTCCCTGAGGAGAGAATAGACTCAAGGGATCAGAGGTAGTAGAGCTGTCCTCAGTGTGTCATCTTAGACTGTCACTTAGATCGTGTGTGAGTTTCTCAGTGTGTGTCTGTGTGTGTGTGTGTGTGTGTGTGTAAGAGAAAGAGAGAGAGAAGGGAGGTCGACATTGAAAGAGACGAGCGTAAGGAGTAGACCGAGTCCTTTTTATTGGCAGGGAGACTAATTTTTTTCTGTCATTAGCTTCATCGGCTCATGTCATCTCCCCCCTGCCTTTCACTATTCATGTTCACAGTAAAATATAATCTTGCTCATTCCACATTTACACTGGATTTCAGTAACCCTCATATTTAAAGGATCATTCTGATTCATTACAACTTGGCTCTTAGTTTCATCATTTCAAACGTCAATCCTGTCTGTGATAAAAGAAATTGCACTCTCAATTCCAAAGACTAATAGGGACAGAGACACAAGTAGAGCCACATGACAGTGGAATCCACAGAGACAGAGAATGGCACACAGTTGAGCGTATACCTTCACCAAGGCACATCAAGCCCCCCCTTGAATTCAAATAAGCCTTAAGGCCACATTACATTATCTCAGCTATAGAACCAAATAAAAATCTACTAGATTCAGATTTTTATTTGGATCCACACACTCAGATTGCAGTTCCCTAAATATGTTTATTTTCTTTCTTCAATGAATTATTCCTTGGCGAACTGTTGACAATGTAAAAAAAAGCCCCATCTCGCAATGTTCCTAGATCCACCACTATCCAGATTCACACCAACATTGAATAGGTTCTTTCTTTGCCCATGTCTCATCCTTCCACCAAGTTTTATGGAAATCTGTTCATAAGTATATTCCTGCTGACAAATAAACAAACAAAGTAATTATCATCCAACTGTTTTGCAGTTGTCCTTAAGTCTTTCAGCTCATTGTTTTGGTTTTAGACACCACAACTTCACTCTTTTGTTTCTCTCAATGTTTCTATCTTGTTATAACATTTGATAATTGCAGGTTCAAATAATCTGGTTAAATCGTTGGCTTGTTTTATAAATGTCACCATGTTCACTTGTTGAGCACAATATTACCTTGACCAATAGAAATTAGACCAACTATAATAAGTACCCAGGTTGAACTGAACTGGACTCACCCTTAAATGCTCTTATTCCGCAATCTGTGTTTTTGTTGAACTCTTCAGCATAGTAAATAAAACTTGGGTCTGTGTTTCTTCCCAGGATCACCGTACTACTACAGTGCAACATCACGGGGGACAGGCCCTGCAGCCACGGCAACAGCCTCTGCCTACGACCGCCACTGACCCGTCCTATTGAGAGGAGGAGAGGGAGGGAGGGAGGGATGAATAGCACCATCACTGCTCAGTACAAACCTGCCTACACACACATTTATGACGTCAGTGAAATTTGAATCTTCTTTGACTCACAGTTGCACCAACAAATGCATTGTTGGGCTGCAACATAGACATACGGTATTGATACTGCATTACTGTGATCATCAGGCATAGCAGTAATCCAACTGGTATTAGACTGATCAAAAGATTTAGCATATGCATAAATTTGGACTCTTCCATAACATATGAAGACTTTGTATCAATAATCCTAATTTCCACCTATCTAGAAATCCAATAGTTCAGTGGACTATGAGTGCAGAGGTAACTGAAACTGTAAAAGTCTGTATTGTGATCTTCTGGGTAAAATGTTTTCTGTTTAGGTATTTTTTTGATGAAATTATTTGAGCTTTTTAGAGCAGGATCACTTTTTCAAATAGTCTTTTGATGAGCCGACATTAATCAAACACATTCTCTATGCCATGCTACGGTGAAGTAAAGACAATCCAACTCTCATAACTTTGAATGACCAAAATCACCCACATCATTATCACTCTGCCGTAGATTCAACACATTTCCCTTGGGATCACAATGCTTAATAATCAGGATACGATGAGTTTCACCAATCAGTTTCACAAATGTTTGCTAAGTCCCACCCCCTTTTGCTACTGTTAGCCTGTTGACTGTTTTCACTGTGGAGCTTTCCGCTCTCACTCGGCAGACATGCAATTTACAATAATTTACAACATTTACACCAATATTTTGTGACATGTCAAACAATGTATCATTAATATCAGACCATAGTATAAAACAAAATTCGCCAGCAAATGTTGCTGAGAGAATTTATCTACTGCAGCTAACAAGCCAATATAAGGCTTTTGAGATCAGACGGTGTTTGGCAAATGTAATTCTGTCATCGGTAACACTGAGGCTAACTTTTCATGTGACACTGGAGGCACCAGCCAGTAAAATTGTGTTTAGCGGATGCGGCCAATTGAATGCAAGAGAAGCGGCGGGAGAGGCAGCTGGCTAACCTGCTGCATGCTCATATGGTTGAGGATTGTATTTCCCGTGTACTTCTCTTTACACTGACAGCCAACATGGCACGTTAACATGAAAGCCAGCTATGTTGTCCCAAGTATGAAACTTTGATTGTTGTCATTATGATTATCGTGCCAGCATCAAGTGTTAACCACACATGCTAACATCTGCAGGTTACGTACGAGGAAATAAACCCAATTTAATATTATGGTTTTGAAGTGAGAGACAGAGGACTGCTCTCACTGTAGCACCGTGCACGTTGCTTCGGCATGTGGAGGTATCTAGATTTTGACAGATCTGCTGTGCCTAGTTACGGTTGCTAAGCTATTATGGTTGCTAAGTTGGAGGTGGGGTTTAGCAAACAGTCCATTTTCAGTCGTCGTACACAGATCCCGATGCGTGTGCGGTGTCATAACACGGAAATCTATCCTCACATCCACACTTGCATTCAAAGTGGTTTTAAAACCACTGACCAATGGACAGGCCTTTTACTCAAGCACAGCATCAAATCTGAGTCCTCTACTGTAAAAAGGTCAACACGTTCACATCAGACCAAAATCAACCAGGGAGTCATACTGTACAGGAAGGTGCTATCCTACCTCCCCAGCCAAGATTGAGTCCTGATCAAGAGCTATTTATAATGGAGGAGACACAGAGTAATATATTAAGAAGCTTTTCCGCGCTGCACTCCACGAGAGTGAATGCCTGTAATGATTTATAATATGTGTCACGCTGTTGTGCTAGAATAGTGATGATGATGATGATGATGATGACGACGACGATGCAGTGAAATATGAAATCTTAAGAACTTTCAATATGAAAAGAAGTCTTTGTTTATAAATGTCATCTGACTGCGATTTTCTTGTTTATAGTTTGTTGCCTGATATCAGTTGACGCCGGTGCCACTTAATAAGACGCCATTTTTAACTGCTTCCTGAATTTTCAAAAGAAAAGCCAGGAAACAGTGGCACCCTCTCTTTCTCCTTCTCTCTTTCTCTCGCTCTATTTCTCTCTTTAAACTCCCCAAAGATGGGCCCCCCCTAGTGGATCGGCTGACTAACTACAAAAGCACAAAGACTCAATCATCATTTAATGGCGCCATTTTACTTTTATGACTTCCTTTTAGAACCATGAAGTATTTCCTCTCCTCCCCTTCTTGAGTGCTTGTCCTTGTGCTGTTTGACACCCTGAAATTGTTTCTATAAAAACTTCGCTTTCGTGAAAAAACAAGTGAAACTGTTTTCTTTTTTTTTTTTTTGTTTCTCTCCTACAACAGTTCTGCGCTGTGACAATGCATGACACCAGGGTTGAGGCCTTACCCGCTAAATGTACAGACAGAGCAGGAGAGATTTGCCCTGTAGCACTGATTTGAAATCAGTGCCGTTATCCCTCCCAAATGTTTGAGAGCCCACCATGTTGATCTTGTGTGAGGGCAATATCCTCCTAAACCTGTACGCAACTTTCTGTCTCATTTCTGTCCATACAAGATTTGTACAGTACTTAGCGAAAGAGAAGAGACGTCACAATGTCGATAGCAATTTTAATTATTCACATTTGACTTTAGATTTTAGTGATGGGACTTTCTTTACGAAAAAAGATTAAGAGGTTTGTGGTGTTGTTTTAGCCATCGTCTGCAAGTGTTTACATATCTTTTGTTTGATTGTTTGTTTTGGGTACGTGTGGCTGCATGTAGCACTTGATTGCTACTGTGTAGTTTTACGAGTTAACAGATTGGAAGCACCAAATCTGCAGCGCAAGACATGAAATATAGCTATATAAACTTATACCTATGAACACGGAACAAAACTGTTAGTTTCTCAATCTTTGTTGTTTCTGGGTTTTGAAATAGTGGTAGGGTGGATCCTTTTACATTTGTAGACCTTAAAAGTTGTGAATGCACAACTCTAAAGAAGATTCTTCTAACGGCTCATCCGCTGTGCTGCCAGCATGCACCGCAGCAGGAGCCGCTCCTTATTTCTGTCTTTCTCTCTTGATCTTTCTGAGGCATTATTGAACCTGAACCACACCAGCTGAAAACAAGGACAGTGCCTTTAGTTTTATATGTCAACAACCCCCCTGACTGACCACGAGTCACTAAAAGATGATTCACTATCCCTCCCTGCGATTCCTTCAACAAATCTCTATCTGCCACGGGGGTGTCGATTAAACCCTCCCATAAATATATAGCAGAGAGTTATTTCAATACCAACATCAGCCAATAAGTTTCATTGTATAAATAACATTGCAGCTGTTACAACCCAACATACTCCTGACCTAGGACTGTGTATCATGCATCACAGTCCTGCATATCTCCCATCACGTGGACATTCAACATCACACACACTCTCAAAATTTGCAACAAAGTTGTCAGACTTAAAATCTTTTTAGTTGTCTATCAGCTTTGAAAACAAATATGAAATCCCAATTGATTTGAGTCTATGAAAGACATCAAATATAGCACAGGACCTCTTCCTCACTTGGCCCCAGTTGTGCATTTAATACCTTCAATACATTTTTCTCAAAGATGGTTTCTGACACATTCTTACCACACTAATGTCTGATGAA